TGACTCTTTTGGTATCTGACAGAGCTGGTAACTCTGGTTTTGGCCTAGTGAGCTCATAGATTTCTGGGAGCTGAATGAGCTGGTAATTTCCTGTTTGGCACATTGAGTTTAGCACATTGATCTTACAGAGCTGGCTCTTTGACCAGATTTGAGATGTGTCACCCCACTATTTAAAATCCTTACTTTAAAAATCACTACTTGACTACTTTATATTTAATTTTTTCTGCAAGACTATCAAAATAATATCTAGAATAAGAGGAGTTGATATCTTTAGGGGCTTGGTTAAACGACTCCCAAAAAATGGAGAGCCGACTCCCAAGCCCCGGAATCCCCGAATTTTGGGAGTCAAACCCCCAAAACCTCCGACTGGTTTGGGAGTCAACTCCCCAAAAGAAAATATTCAAAAAAAAGAATCCCCCGGTCCGTTTAAGAGTTGATCCTCCAAAACCGACCAGGGTTTGGGGGTCGGCGGAACAAAAGACCCACGGAAGCGGCCGGGAGGATTCCTCCCGGCCACTCGCATTACCTTCTCAATGGCCGAGAGCCGAAATCCTCTCGGCCGTCGAGGGTATATACTCTCAACGGCCAAGGGAAACCACCTCGGCCACTGAGAGTACACTCTCAATGGCCGGGAGTGTACCTCTCAGCCGTCGAGAGTGTACACTCTCGGCTGTCGCGAGTGTACACTCTCGGCTGTCGCGAGTGTACACTCTTGGCTGTCGCGAGTGTACACTCTTGGCTGTCGCGAGTGTACACTCTTGGCTGTCGCGAGTGTACACTCTTGGCGGCTGAGAGGTACACTCCCGGCCATCGAGAGTGTACAATCTCGATGTTGGCCGTCGAGGGGTACACTCTTGGCCGTTGCAAGTGTACACGACGGCCGAGTACCTCAGTGATCAATTCCAGATGTCCATGAGATGGTGATTAGTTGTTGTTGTTGTGGTTGTTGGTAGTGGTGATGTAGAATGAGTGGTAGTCCGATGGCCAGGATGAGTGCATGGTGGTGGCCAGTTTGCCTGTGTCCTCTCTGGTCTGTGAAGGGTACTTTCCCTCGGCCGTTGAGAGTATATACCCTCAACGGCTGTGAGGATTACGGCTCTCAGCCATTGAGAAGGTAATCTGAGGAATCCTCCCGGCCGCTTCCGTGGGTCTTTTGTTCCGCCGACCCCCAAACCCTGGTTGGTTTTGGAGGATCGGCTCCTAAACCGAACGGGGGATTCTTTTTTTTTGAATATTTTCTTCTGGGGAGTCGACTCCCAAACCAGTCGGAGGTTTTGGGGGTTTGACTCCCAAAATTCGGGGATTCCGGGGCTTGGGAGTTGGCTCTCCATTTTTTGGGAGTCGTTTAACCAACCCCCTATCTTTAACTATATTTTGACTACCAAATCAGTATTGAAGAGTGCTATCACTATACTAGGGGGTATCAAATATAGGAAATCCACCATTATAAACCAGTCACTTTTTTAAAAATATTTTTTTGCATCAATGGGCCCCAAAAGGGGTTAAATGAAGAATCAACATGTTTAAAAAAGGGTGGATTTTTTCAAACCAGTCAATTAAATAATGGTGGATTTGGTTATATTTGATACCCCCTACTATCTAGACTAAGAGGATTCAGATTCAGTATCTTTAACTATCTTGAAGTGGCCACTTCTAAAATCAGCCAGCCACAACTCCAGGTCTTCAGTGACCATACATTCCAGTCCAATCACCAGTGTTTCAGCCTTTAGCTTGGATCCTTCTGACTGCAGAATTTTAAGACCAGTGAAGTTGGACTTAACAAGCGCTGATGGGTCCCTTTTTTTTGGGGAACTTTGCTTTACATTGTCCAAGAGCTATAGCTATCAGAATTTTGATCAATAAGCACTCATTTTGTGAATCAGTATATTGTGAGCTGACAAAAGTGAGGAGTATGTATGAGTAAAATAACTCACCAAGCATTTCATTCAGTTTGGCTTGTAGAGTAGTTCAAACGATATTGCTATGCTTTTTTTTTTCTTGAGTGGTGGTTGGTTTGTATTGGAGCATTCTTGAAAAATCTCTTGAATGGCCCTTCCATGGCTGTATGCCCTGAAGGTTTCTTTTGAAGCCCATTGCTTCTTTTCTACAGAGAGCCAGTGAGCATTGCTACTCAACTCTTTGCAAAAACTGCTGGGCCCTGGGCTGCATGTTGTAGCTAAAATGTAAAAGGTCAAGTTGTAAATGTTTGCAAGAGTAAACAACCAATAATTGTGGAGTGTCAGTAACCATATTGAAATTGAAAATGAATGGCAGATTGCCGACCTCAGAGTTGAGTTGTATTACCTGATCAAGGGCTTGAGGAGGAGTATTCCCACTTTTGTCAATACCTTGACCAGAGACAAGGTTCACTTTCTCATGGTTGACAAGGTTTTCATAGAGGGGCTTGTACAGTGCCTCTTCTTCACTACTGGGGGACTTCTTTGGTGTTGGTTGTTCACTTTCATTGATCTCATCCGAATTGTTGTCGATTTTGCAACCAATTGGTAGTTTCAAAAAGTGTGTGAATATTCTCTCATCAAACATGTTTTTTTGTTTGTCTTGCATAAGTAATTTCCATGCATCTCTGAGTGTTTTGTTCTTTTCATCCCATCCTAGTGAGAAACCCTTGGGAGGAACTGGATTCATGAAATTAAACGATGTTAGAATTCTCCTTGGTCCAATCAAAAGAGGAAGGCAAAATTCATTTACCTGGTGTCTTGCCACTTTTCATGCTAAAGGCCAGAAATCGACTATAGCTGCTTTTCTTTTGTGTTGGCCTGTCTTCCTCACTGAGGAAAGATAAATGAGTTCATCAATTTATTTGAAACATAGTTTTTTGCAATTTGGAATGACTCACAGCCAGCTGTTGATAGTTTTCTCAGATACTCTGCCAAGTATTGCAAGCATAAGCTTGATCTTGACGTAGTTGGTTTTCTGGAAGTTGAGGACTTCCTGAACTTCTGGTGGAATACGTTTTGAGTTCTTTTTTTGCTTGTTCAGTACCTGTTGGAGAAAAGGTAACGTCCAGGAATCCAGGTGACTTTGAAATTCTCTAAGGTGAATCCTATTTCTGCCTCGCAATCTTCGGATTCATTGTCATTGGGTGGAGAGTTGTAATCTGATCTTTCATGGTGATTGCCAGTTGATTGCTGGCTGGAATTCTGATTACGTGTTGAACAGACTTGTTGAGCTCCCCCCCTTCCTCTCCTTCCCCTCCCACAAGCAGATGTGCTTCCTCTTTTGTATTGGCCTTCTGTTTGATCAAGTGGTGACCATTTTTTTGGGATTTGGTTGTTTCTGTAAAACTAAACTAACAGGATGATATGTGATGAGGTGCAGTGGTGAAAGCTGACTGATTTGAAGTCGGCTCAACTTAGGGTGGAGGTGTGCACACCTTGTTGGACTTGGTGATTTTCTTTGAATATGCATGCACCTGAGCTGGAAGATTTGGCACTAGCTTTGATACGGCTTTAAGCCAGGCATAAATCCAAAACATCTTTGGTTTGAAACCGTAGAATGATGAGGACAAAACTCCAGGATAACAAGGCCCTGTAGTTATTGCTTACTGTTACAGGCAAGACATCTTAACAATTTTTTTGTGTCAGTAATATGTAAAACTCACATGTTGAACTTTTTGCAGTAGTTGCTGGTTGCAACTCGCAATCAATACATCAGAGATTAATCAAAACAAAGGCGCAACTCACACCAGAGTAAGCACACTTGTTGCGTCAGAACGAAACACAAAATATTGACTTTCTCATGAAATATTTTTTATTCCAGTGGATGCCCCACAGAAGTTGTCATCAAAGACTACTCGCTCAAAAGCAATGAACAGAACCCCCGTAGATTTGCAACCAGAGACAGCTGCTGTAGATTCTCAACCAGCAATGGAGTTACCTACAACAGTCACTGAGTCTCCAACCATACCAACCTTGTTGGACGGTTCCCAAGACAGTGGGGGAGATGATTCTTTAGACCTGATCAGTAGAAATCCGGGTAAGCATCTTAACTTACAGTGATTGTGCTCCAGCCTATGCTTGCCTTTCTTAACCAATGCATATATATGATGCCACCCGTTGATCTTCAATAGAATTAGCGGTAGAAACTGTAAAAGAAATTGCGGAGAAGCCCACAATACCTCAGGAACCAGAAGTGTTGAGAGAATGGGATCACATCTGGTCAAAGATCAAATCAGCACAAGCTGACGGCGACAACATCCTGGAGAGAGCGTTACTTATTGCTTACAAGGCATCTGAATGCAAGATCAGTTTCAGCCAGACCAATTTTAAGCATCTCCAATCACCAGTTGCTCACAACAACGGCAAAAATCACAGAATCTGAAGATAACCTCATTTACGCTGGAGGCGCAGTAACTAGCCACCAAGACATTGGCTTCACCCCATATTTTGATGAAAATATCCAAAAGCTAAGAGCTCCTATTCCATTAACCATCTTCAATAAAGGTATAGTTCTCTGTTCACACAGTACAATCAATTTCTGGAAAACTTTTATTGATTTGGTCCTTTTCTGTCAGGACAGAATGGCAAAAGAAAGCTCTCACCGCACATATGCCGCTGAAGCCATCAAAATCCTCAGAGGACAAGGCATACCACGACGAGTGGACTCAAACACATTCAACTTGGACACATAAATAATCATTGGTCATTCTTCATCACCTTGAGAGACGTGTACAACAAGAAGCTCTTTGCAAACAAACTTCTCATTCACAAGGCAAATTTCAACACAATGGCAGAGGTATACGGACTCATGACAGCATTCAGATACAACATGCAAATCAGAATGAATGTGTTTTCTCACCGGTTACCATCTAAAGAGGGTGCAGCAATCCCAGATAAAGCGGTCAAGCAAGACGTTGTCATAGAACAATGCTGCAGTACAGTCAGACCACACTGCGACACTGGATGGAAAGATAATCATTACGCACCCGGTGGATCTCATGCAAACTATGACCCTGACACAGGCTCTAAGAAACCGGACCTTCCACGTTCAAACTTGGCCCCAAATTATCATAATGGTAATCGCCAGCAATCCCCATTCAACCAATACAACAATCATCCGTATGGCCCTGGCAATCATCAGGAGAGGAGAAGGGATAAAAAAGAAGACATTATGGAGGTGACATGATGGGAGGTAATTTCAACAACAGTTATAATTTTAATCAAAGCTAGGAGAATCCACATCAATCCCAAGGATCTCCTCATAATTCAAATTTTGGCAACAATTACGATCAAGGCCATCAAAATTACAGCGGAAATTTTCACCAGTCTAATAACAAAGGAAGGAAAAGATTTAAAGGAGCAGGAAATAAGTCAGATTGGGTTGATAAAACCTTAGCTGGAGGAACGGTGAGCGGAAGTAAATCGTAGGTTGCTTATACATTTCTTTCAAAAAAAAACATGTAGAGTTAGTTGTTTGATAAATCCATGAGTAAGAGTAAATGTTTAGAGCACACTTGTTTTCATTTCTAGTATGATTTGCATAGGTAAAAATACTGTTTGGCCAGTGGCTGTGAAATGTGAAATGAAGTTGCCTGAATGGGAAAATGCACTAAGAAATGCAGGCCTATTGCCAAATATGAATCACATCCTTGATGATTTTCTCAATGGTTTTGATCAAGGTATTCTGGATCACCGGGTAGGGAACCTAAAGTGGTTCACACCTGACAATCATTCATCCGCCATTGATGCTGACAAAAAGATTCAAAAGTAAATTCAAGAAGAGGTAGCAGCGGGAAGGATGTTCGGCCGGTTCACACATGAAGAGGTCGCCAAACATTTTAACTTCTTCAGAAGTAGCCCATTAGGATCAGTCATTAACACGGATGGGAAAATGTGTCCAATCAACAACTTGTCTTTTCCAAAGAAAGATGGAGAAGTGAAATCGGTAAATTCTTTTGTGAATAAATTAGATTTTGGTACGACTTGGGACGATTTCAAGATCTTTTCAACTTTCTTCCAACCACATTCCAAACCAGTCGACCTTGCGCTTTTTGATTGGGCAAAAGCTTATTGTCATATTCCAACTAAGAAATGCCAATGGCCATACTTGATGGTGAAAGACCTTCAAGGCGGACTTTATGTAGACACAAGAATTACTTTTGGATGGAGGGGTTGCTGGATGCGGGTCTTTCGGCTTACCAGCAGATGCCTGGAAACAAATTATGGAGTCAGAATTCAACGTGGTGAAGATTTTTTGATGGGTGAACAAGAATCTGTTTGTGAAGTCTAGAGATTTGACCTGCAACATGGAAACGGTTTCAAGAAGGTTGGTTAAACTCGGAGTAGCAACAAGTGTAGAGAGGTGTACCGAATTTGCAGAAGAACAAAAAATTTATTGGGTTTATATGGAATGTTTGATCGAAAACGGTTCGGTTACCCAAGACCAAATTAGAACAAAGGAAAAATCAGATCTTGGAGTGGAGATGGCATGGCAGGTACCTGTCTGATTTTAATGGAACCTGCTTCAAAGTGCTTGGCAGGTGCCTGTGCGCAGGTATTTTAAATCTGTGATTGTACAGGTGCCTTGCTATATAAAGCTAGCTTAGCGTCTTCCTCAAGTCAAAGTGGTACTTGATGAGATGAAAGTGTCAAATATTGATGTTATTTGATCTCAAGAACTTTAAAGCAGGTTCCATGAAATTCAGACAGGTACCTGCCGTGCCATCTCTATCTTGGAGTTTTTACAACAAAAAAGAGAGTTCAAATTTACCAATGCTGAATTCCTAACGGGGAGGCTGAATCATGTTTCATTGCTTCCACCGCAACTGAGGTGTTATTCGAGGAGCGGTTACAGATGGATGAACAAATGGAAAAAGAGGTGGGCAACAAGATCAGTTACGGAAGACGTCATAGAAGACCTGTCATTTTGGTTATCAAGTCTAAACAACTATTCAAGCACTTGATTATGCCCCTTGGTAGACCCCACAGAGATTGAATGGGTTGGAGATGTGTCAACCAGTTTTGGAGTAGGGGTTCTCATTGGGAGAAGTTGGGCTCAACTTTGCTTAAAAGAGAGCTGGGAAAACGCTGAACCAAACTGTACCATTGTGTGGTTAGAAACGGTTGCTATAAGAGTTGGCTTCCTGATGTTATTGGCAATTGGAACAAGTTTGAAAGGGTGCAATCTTGTTGTTTGGACGGAAAACACAACAACAGAAAACATACTTTGGTCAAGAAAATCAAAGGATTTCCACTCAAATAATGAATGGAAAAACATTCAAGAACTTCTGATACGTGAAGAAGTAGACATCACTCCTTCAAGGGTGATCTCCAAAGAGAACGTGGCAGATGGCTTATCTAGAGGGGTCCAACGACCCCACATGGCTGAAAACAGGGTCTGGTTTGATATTCCTACCAACCTATCCCCTTTTATGGTTCACGTGTAGTTTTTTGTTACTCTCTGGTGTTGGTTTATTAGAGTCTGGTTGTTGCTATTGTTTCTATTCCCTGCATATTTTTCACCGCTTGTTATTTCTCTTTCCCGCCTCAAATCTTGCTAAAATGCTTCACAACAAATTTAACATTGTCCAATTCGACAAGATCAAGGAATTTAGGAAAAATGGAACAAACAACCATTCCCCGTCAAATACCAACCTGCACATATTGTCTGGTTGGCAGGTATCTACGCTCAAAAGCTACAACTACGCGGTCATTGAATACATGAAATTTGCCAAAACCTTGGGTCGCCACAATTTCAGGTTACCAGTGTCACCACAAGACGTCAAAGATTTCTGCTTGTGGGTGGGGAGAAGCGGGTTTTCCCAAGAAGTAGATAAAATATCTTTGGTATCAATCAAGAAGTACCTCGCAGATCTACAAGCTTGGCACACCTTCCATAATGAGACTTTCCCAATTATCAAAAAATCTAGAATTGACCTGATGTTGAAAGCATTGGCTAAAGAGAACAAATTAGTAGGGAAACAGGCAAAGAAACTACCGATAATGCTTTGGCATGTTATACACTTGTGGAAAGAGATTTTCAATGGCTCCCAATTTCACAGGGCGGTGCTCGGCATGTGCATCGTAGCATTTTGAGGACCGGCCAGATTGTCTGAGCTCTCTTATGATACTGAAAAGGGCCTTATCAGTTTTCCATTGTTGGTACTCACATCAGATGTTGTGTTAGGATCCCAAGGCAATGAGAGAGTTGCTTCCATCACAATAAGAAATGCGAAGACCGGCAGCCCGGCAGACCCACAACTAATCACATTAGGGAACCAGAACCACGTGCTGTGCCCAATTCTAGTGTTTAAAAGAAGGTTATCATTGGTGGTTGGCACACAAACATCCCTTTTTGGATTCACGATTGGCGGGATTTTTCATCACATCACCAGGCGTAAGGCTGTTGCACAGATGGAAGAAGTCCTGGCGGCCAGTGGTTACTCAGGTTTACACGGTCATTCCTTCTTTGTGGGCAGTGCTTCCTTCAGGTTTGCCTTGGTAATGTTGACTGAAGACTCATGCTCTTTAGGTAGATGGAAATCAAGTTGTTACAAGCTATATATCCAAGTATGATTATTACTACAGACCTTAAAGAAAAGCTGGAAAGATATAGGTTTGTAATTGCAATCTGTTGTTTTGAGTGGAGTTCAGGCGGTCTCTCTCTTGGCTCAGGCTCACCACTCAGTGAAATCCTAAGATTTCGGGCTCAGAGACCGAGAACAGCTCTCTCTGCCACTTTGCTAAGATCCATATACCCCCTAAGTTTTTCTAGGTCAAAGGGTAGGAAAGAAAGTGTCAGCCACAGAGTACATGTCACAGCACCTTTCATGTACCAAGTAACTGCAACACCTGTACCTATGTACATGAGTACTTATCCATAATTTTGTTTACCTTTACCTCTTGTTATCTTGTCATTATCTTTAACTTATCTCATTTCACTTATCTTACCTTATCAATTACTTATCTATTAAATACATACATATTACATACTTAAGTAATTATCACTTGCCTTTCACTCTTTTATCCGTGAAATACCTGTACCACAAGTTATCCCTGCTCTACAGTATTTTCACAATCAAATACCTGAATAAAGAAATATGTACATGCCTTGAATGTTGAGTATCAATTAATCACTGAATAAATACAATAAATATATGTACTAAATATTAATAATGACCTCATTATTTATTGTGTGATCTTAATAATGACTTCATCATTAATTAGCCTTGTCCTTCACACGGTGAAGAGTTAAGTGTCGCATTTTTCAGTGCGACACCCGGGTGTATGTAATTCCTGCGGCAAGTAACGCGCGGGAAATTCCAAATGTCTGATGCGACAGGTGACCTGCCGTTTCAGCTGTCGCAGGATTATGTTCCAGCTATTGCAGGGCGCCTTTCACAAGCCTCTCCAGTGACAGCCCGGAGGCAAGCTCGAGCGGAGACCTAGGAAATACAACCATGCATAAAAAAGGATACAGCCATGCATAAAAAAGTATACATATAACCATGCATGAAAAAAGAGTGAACTTTGGATCGGAGACCCATCATCATGACAAGTGAGCTGACATGTTGAGATGTTTGGTTCAAGCAGGCTAAGTTTGATTTCACCTCCGGCCAGATCGTACAGCCAGCAACCCTTATAACGACCTCTTCCATCGACCTCTTCCATCCCCAGCTACCCTTCTTCACTCACTCCCTTGACCAGCCAACCAGTGTAAGCTACCCACAACTATCTCCTCCAGCAAACCCAGCTAACCTTCCTTGCTTGACTGGCCGGCCGATTATTCCAAGCTACCCAGATACTTCAAAGAATCAGCTACCCTTCTTCCATTGCTCACTTGACCGACCAACCAACCGCCTACCCACAGCCATCCACTCCAGGAGACCTAGCGCTCTACCCTTCAATTACTCGCTCAATCAATTGTTGTAAGCAACCCACCGCTATCTACTCCAGCAGACCTAGCTAACCTTCGATTGCTCTCTTGATCAACCAATTGATTGTCTAGCTACCCTTTGGGCCTTCTTTGCTTGATCACTCAACCATTCAACTCGCCTGTGATAACTTGTTCTACCGGCCAGACAATAAGCTATCAAGGCTACACACAACCCACCTGCCTGTTTGATAAGTTGTGTAAGTCTCACTCATCCATTTTTTTGTCTCTCCTTTTTTCAAACTCTAAGAAGC